TATACGTAAAGTAAGGGTTACTTTGCGCAAATATTCGGGATTCAGATATCATATCATTCTCGTCAACCTCGGAAGAGGAAGATAAGAGGGCAAGGGCCAGGAGCCAACCAGCGGTCAACACACGTGCACTGAGCACGGGTATAATATAAGGCTGGCGGCTAGGCTAGCTCACTCAAGGTCCACGGGAGAGTAAGCTCGGCACTCTGGAGACGAAAAAGGGTGTTTTTGAAACGTCAGCATGAATACAATCAGCTCCCAGCACTTGCCCTCTCTTCCTTCTTTCTCCGGATATGATGTAAAGGAAGGGCATATTTCTGTTTTAAAACAGTTCTAATTATGAGATATTTTCTGACTGAAAAGTTTTATTGATAATAAATCGTGTCCATCAATTTATTAACGGTGCCTATAATGTATGCAGCACACCGTAGACAAAAAAGCACTTTTCCTTAAGCAGGGTGTACACAGCGTGTCAACGTGACTCATTACGACACACGATAAACAGAGTATTGCACGTGTGTGCGCGCCGGTAGCCTGCTTTTGTTAACCACGCACGCTATGAGAACGCTTTAGGCGAGCCTGTAAGATGTGTGGACAACGGAGCTCCCTTCAGAGGTGGCTGCTACCCCCGCGAAATCACAAGCTCCGAATTGACACGTCCTCGCCATCTCCAGTAGCCACCTTAGTCATCCTAGAACATGCATTCGCGTGTTACGTTATTGTAGTATGGCCACTATTTTACACAAAATTCCGAACTTTGCGAAAGATTGACAATCGTTCGCAAACCGGTATTAACTAATATTGTAATACTGATTAGCATTCAGCCTAATCTCAAGTAATTTCAGTCATGATAGAATGCCGGCTTTTTAAGGAGCTTCAATTGGACAATTTAAACTAATGATCCATGCAAAAAATGACTACCTAAGTAGTATGAATTTAACTCATTAATGTTGACTGCCTTTATATATATTCAAATATATTCTATAGAAAGCATCGTCAAGATTATCCTTTCTTATACTGCTTTGGCAGCAAATTCTACTACCTTTATCCTTGAAGGAAGGGTATACTTCAATTTAAAACAAAATTTTATAAATTGCCGAATAGTTTGGAAACTTACAGATCCTTACAACTGAATTCAAGGTTTCCAAACTGCGTGTTGTGTACATCCTGTGTAAGAAAAAAAAGTTTTTTCCCTACGATGTGAGGAAGAGACCACATAGTTGTCTTAAAAGTTTGCCATACATGTGAATCCTGCTGTATATGTTATAGGCAACAGTAATATATTGACAAATATGATGTATTATGAGTGAACGCTTCACAGTCGTAAAAATATCATGATTAGAATTTTTTAAACCGAAATATACCATTCCTTTATGTATAAAATTTTAAGAAGGCGTAATTTGTTACCACACGGGTACAAAAAAGAATAATTTTGTTCATTTTTTGCACAACATATTTTTGGATCAATAAAGACAGTCAAACTCAATGAGTTAAATGCATACTATTTAAGTAGCCATTTTTTACATCAGAAGGCAACTCGTTAAAAAGTCGGCATCCTGGCGTGAGTGAAATTATGTGAGATTAGGCTGTAGAATAATAAATATTACAACCCGGCTTAATGCCATGGATATCAATCTATCACAAACTTCGGAATCTTGTATGAAATACCGGCCGTACCGTACAATCGTGCTTTCAAAACCTACACTGTATAAATGACTAATTGAAAAGCATACACTCAACCATTGACTTCCAACACCCTTATCAATGCATCTGTGAATGGAAGGGCCCTCATCGATCTGGTTACGGAACATGCTCGTCTCGTTTTGTCTTGGAGCTCAATCTAGAACCCTCGCAGGCCTTCACATATCGACTTGTATAAATGCTGAAGTGGAACCGACAAAGACAAGAGAGACCGGCGGAATGGCCATTTCTGGCTGATTAATCGTTATCAACCACTCATACCCAATCCCAGGGCTGGCGACCTCCGATATTAAAATCAGA